GGTCAAAGATATTTTACTTTCTGTTCACTGAGTAAAAGCTTAAAGTAGTACTATATTTTTGAACAGAATAAAATAATCTTATGTCCCAACAAAGAAGATATATCTGAAATGCTATGGAAACTGTGAGCATAACCTCACTTATTCCGGACTAGGTTAGCTGAACAACCTAGTTCAGAGTTCAGCAAAAGGTGGGATCACTAGAAGAATTTGCTCTTCATATAAAATATGCCATAAAATGTGTTCATAAAGTTAACCTCCTAAATGTAGAAATTCTGTTTAGCATCTGGTTGGTCTACAACATGTTTTCTTCCTAGTGCCTAGCTGGGGTAATTCGAGCACTCCGGGTATTCAGGGTGGAGAGAGCATTTTGGACAAAACCCCGCGTGCTGCGGCTGAAGCTGCGGCATTCGGCTCCCAAGGGGCAGCTTCACGGGGCAAGGTAAGACACGGGGCACAGCGGGACACGCAGGGATGTCACCGCTGGCACAGCAGGACACGCAGGGATGTCACCGCTGGCAAACACCAGCCGAAGCAAGAAGAGAGCACAGGTCCGGTGACAGCCACCAAGTTCACCCAGCTGTCCAGCGATCACCAGACATGGTGAGAACTCACGCCAGCAACTCACCTGAAGCTGAGCTACAAAACAAACCAGTCCCTCCTTTCTTGCTCTTGTTTGTAAAAGAGCTTAATCAGATCTAGACTGCACAGCAACACACATATTTAACTTTCTTACTCTAAAATAATAAATTTTCCACGCTGTATGCATGTAATACTTATAAATAACTGCAGTCGCAGAATAACATCTGTTTCCATCTGTCAGTTTTAGTTAAAGCTGTCGCATTATTACCCATTTTTGGTGTACATAATAATATGGTGTCCACATATTTGGAAACAACTTAATCTTACCATGCTTTTAAGCATTATTTGCTGATATAGATAATGAGGTGCACATCACAAATGAATAAACCTGACCGAAAAAAGAAGGACAAGGGGAGTGCCTTATCCTTGACAACATTGCCTGAATTAAGAGGTTAATGCCAGAATTAATTATCGGTTAGTTTTCAAATCTCAGCTGACAGGCAGCAGGAATTAAGGGGCAAAACATGAAAAATAAGCAAAAGGAATTAATGCAACTTTATGCCACTTGAACATAAATCCACATCCGATATCATAAACTCTAATACCAGAAAACCCCTACTGCTGGGATATTTATGGTGCGTAAATGATTCAAATACCCCACCATGAATGTTGCAAACAAAACCAACAAACTGGGGACACAACCTGAACTGACACTTTTATCACAACAAAACGCAGTGTTACTATCTCCACCATTTAATTTACTCTGAAAAATTCACTTCTGCAAAAGCACCAGAAAAAAAAAAGCATGCATTTTATGTCCTCTAAAACAAGAAATTAAGCACTGTACAATTCATGAATCTAAAAGGATTATGTCATTATCAACCTTAACCTGATCAAAAGAAACGAGTACAAATAAAGTTATATTTTTGAACTTAGGCTTCTGTAAACAAAGAAACTTAAAATCAGTAGCACCTGATTTTAGCCCGCCTTTGCTATGCACAGTTATAAGCGTCTACCTAGTCCCTGTCAGCCAGAACCTATCTCTAGATATTCCTTAAAGATCACCTCCTACTTAGCAGCAAGACATCAAGGCCGTGGAAAACACACCAAGCTATTTCCCCAAAGGACAAAATGAATGGAAAAAGGTTCCTGAAACTCAGTTCAAGTTGGTTAGGTGTTTAACCGGGCTAGCAAGCATTGCTTCTGACAGCGTGACAAGGTTGTTGCAGGCAATCCCACACTTCTATACTCGGACTAGGCAAGAGCACAAACCACGACAAAGGTGCAGGCTGTAGCAAGCAGGGGCAGTGTTGGCCCGAACTCCTCCAACATCATCGTGTGATTCTGACAGAGGAGCTGTGACAACCAGCCAAGGGATGAAGCTCCAGGTACGTGGCAGACAGGGTGGAAACCCCCAGAGCACACACAGATTGACCCCATAGATTTTGTTAGACTCGGAGTGACGAGAGCCCTTTGGCACGCAGCCTTGCTCAGGATTGAGCACTGAGGACGGGACACAGGAAGCGTGTGTGTTTTGGAATTGCTCCATCAGCCTCCAGGTTAGCAGGGCAGCAAATCCAGGGGGAGCTGGCTGGCATCACTGCACAACGAGAGGCTTGACACAAGTCGAGCAGAGAGAAGGATCTGTTGGTTGTTCCCTAGGTCTGCGATCCAGCCCAGCTCCTGAGCAGAACTGCCCAGGTCACGGGAGCTGCGAGCACTAATTAGAAATCCCGCAGGCAAACCCTGACACTGGTGTTTGTCAGTCACCGACAGTAAGGAATAAACCGCCTCACACTCCTACTTGTCTCTCTGTGGGGACAAGAACCGACAGCACCTGGGGCTTTGCAGCTCTCCTGTCCGCGCGGCTCCGGGGATGCCGCAGGTTACGCTGAGCCGCTACAGCGCTGAGAACCTCGTCGTCCTCACAAGCACTGGAAGTCGTGTAACATAAAAGCCATTCTAAACACTTCCAAGATGAAATAAAGCCAACCAAATAATTTCTGATGATGTATTTTCCCCCCAAATACCCACACTTCTGGATGACCTATTTTTATATAGGTTACTTTGTATCTTCTGAACATTGTTACACTTATAAGCCTTATACCCTTAACTTCAATAGTGACTCAAATTTCAGTGACTTTAGCCATGTGCTTAAAGTTAAGCACCCGTGCGACCAGGGCCATGATAAACGTTTTGGGAGGAAGCTCCTCAGGTGGAAAAGCACAGTATATCTTAACAAGCAGCTTGCCCCCACAAGTATATAGGCAATCCCTCCCCTTTTTATTACGGAATTACCTACAACTTTCCCTGCTGCTCAGAATGCCCCAATAACGATGCCAGCTGCAGCGGCTCAGCCCCGCAACAGCCTCGCCGCGCCCGGGGGGCATCTCACCCTCAGCGGCGGCCTCCCTAGCCCCCGGGCGGCCGACTTCTCCCCGCACCCACGGATTTTTGGTACCATTTGCGGGCGAAAGCGCCCCAAAGCGCTGCGTGCGGCAGGGGCTCCCCGGGTGCGGCAGGGGCTCCCCGCACCTACCTGCGCGCTCGCGGACGCGCACGAGCAGCTCCCAGGCGGGCGCGGCCTCGCGGTCCAGGCGGGCGGCGAGCGTGAGGGCGCCGCTCTCGGGCTCCACGCGCAGCGGCGCGCGCGCCGCGGGCGGCGACAGC